GTGGATCATCAAGATTATTGGTCCTACTTATTGTCAATATTTCGGGTGACGTAGTATGTGCTCGACAAACAAGACCAGAGAGTCTTTACAAAAATGAGAGTGAGGTTCTTTCCTAAAATTTGGAAAAATCCTCCAATACACCTCTAAAACATTTCCATGATTATTATGCTACTTGTTTTTTGTGAAATGTCATATTTTCTACTTCATCAAATTTGTCACATTTACTCAAAACAATATAATTCATGGCCTTACCAGCTTGTCAAATCCTGATCTTGTTGGATTTGACAAGCTAAGCAGTGTGGGCTCTGGTTAGTGCTTTGATGGGAGACTTCTGTAATCCCAGGAACCACAGGGACCTCAGGCAGCTGCGAACAGCCTTTGTATCAAAACACGTCACCCACTTTGTATGCATTAATCTGCTGTGTTTGGGAATGATTAGTGGTGGATTGAAAGCATTTCTTCTGTTCCAGGGCAGCTGTGGCTATAGTAGTAGTCCAACAATGTTTACATCCAGGTTAAAAACTAAACATCTAGGTTATGTTTAGCTGTGCATACAACTGACGGATTTTATCTTCACTCTTTTTTAATGTACTGTGATTATTTATGACTTGTATTGTTTCTATCTTGTTTTGAGATGCCTTGTGTATGAACTGTGCGATCCAAATAAACTTGCCTTGTTATTCCTTGTGCGGAGGGAATTAATAATACACTAAATCCAGTCCAAAAAGAATCATTCTAAACCTCTGGGAGTGTCATGAGAACTGGACAATTATGTGTAACCCACAAAGAATGAAGAGCACTCAGACCAAATAAATATCCGTTTCCCCAGGTCCAGAGAAGGTTACATTGTTTTATTTGTGTGTTTATTAATAGGTCAACAGTCAGCCAAGCGTCCAAGCATAGGCCTACAACAAGTTACTCTTTAGCTTTTGTATCACGTTCTGAACGCAAAAAGAATTACAACAGGTCAAAAAACTGAACAAAAACAAAATATATTTACATACTGCATTATAAATATGTCAAATGTACATCATTATACACAAGTACCAAACGTGGTCGGTTAATGTCACAACCTTAAAATATATGCTTAAAAACAAAACATAACAACGTAATAAAAATGGAGGTTTGAGGGGATCAAAAAGGAGCGTTCGTTGACCTAAAACCAGTTGAATTTCATGGGAGCGAAAAAAAGCTATCTACACATGATGGAAATGACTGTACACGTTAGCCCCTCGAGCGGAATTAACAAAGCTAGGTCAAGTAATCAAAATAAGGCTAGTACCGCTGCGAAATACACGCGGAAAACTGTTGAAATATTAGTGTTAAGTCATTAAGAACATTTTCGGACATTTTAAGGAAGACATTTTTTCCCTTTGTTATGAGAGCGATCAAGTTTAGTGGCGGTTAGCTAGGCAGTTAGCGTAGCATTGACAAAACAATAGCCGCTTCCAAACTCCCTTTTTTGTACTTTAAGTAGTAGTAGTAGTAGTAGTTGAGCCAAGTTTGGTACATTTTACCGACGTGTAAAAGACATTTGTAATGCCACTTAGGTCAAGATAAAGGGACGATAAGGAAGGACAAGAAGAATTCAGATGCAGCCTGACACGTTAGCATGTTTTAGCTTAGCGCTTCCCTATAATGCAATATTGTAAGTGTAAACAAAAACAACAAAAAGCTACATGTTTGTCATTCATTAGCATTCAGAAAATACATTTAAAAACATATTTTGTCAATGCAATATGATTGGCAAAATTGAACTGCTTAGCTTATATGAAACTTTTCTGAGGGAAGGTCCGCTTTTACATCTATACATCTATACATCTACATTGGAGACAGTTATAAGTCACATCTGCTGAGAGGCGAGTCAATCCAATCTAAGAATTCACATTTTAGAGCAGAAACTAATCTATATTTTTACCATACTGGAGGTAGATACATGGCAGCAAGCAAGAAGCAGACCAATCAGAAAAGCTGCTCAATGCATATTTAATTCACAAACAGCGCTCTCAATTTTGCGCCAATGTATTCCTCACAATGTCCGACCACTTCTTTTTGCGAAAAGCTCTTTAATTATGTCTGGAGAAATACTGTAAAAAGTACCAAGTTACTGTAAACAGATATTTAAAAGCGTAAAACAATAACTTTAAAAATGGCAGTCCATAAAAAAAAACACTAAACAACTCCCTTGAGCGATCAAGTAAGACTCCGATGGCTTTTTGTATGTTTACATAATATGAATAGTTGCCAAAATGCTTATAGCTTCAGTCGTTCGCTGCTTGTGGCTCTCCCTGCGGTTTCCTCGTTAGTATTTAAGGACACCATTTTTTTTTTTTGGGGAATTTCATCCACTTGTCTAAATGTCACTTTTTATATTAGAATTAAGGTGAAGCGACATGACTACTTTTTACAGTTCTGTTCACAAGTTGCTTCACTCCATTGCACTTACTGTAGCGTGGATGGGGACGCTGTGAATATGTTATCACGGTTCACTCACACAAAAACAAAGAGACTAGAGGAAAAATGGACCAATAGGTTATTAAGGACAATTCCAACATAAGTTATACAAATAAAATACGTTTTTAAATCTGCATCTATAAAGCAGAGCCATCTATTCCAAATCACCAGCATTTAATTTGACAAGAAATACTAATTTAGTTTCAATTTTAGATTTTTTTTATTGAGATTTAGTCAATATTGTATTCCTACATATAGACTAATTTTTTATTTACATGAGTTTGTTTATGCGATTGGTTTGGGAATTGGGATTGAAAAAAAAGAAACTTGTATAAAGTCTCCACATTGTTGATTTGTAGTTTTAAAATCTGGACGTTTAGTCGACAAAATTCACTTTTACTTAAGTCTCGATTTAGTTTTAGAGACGGTACAAACATGGTACATATCTAGAGATGCACCAAGGCCGATGAAATCAAAGGCATTACATTAAAAATCCTAAAACTAAAGATGAACTTGTAGCATGCAAAGTCACTGTTTAGCTAATGGGTGTAAAAGCGTTCCCTGAGTTAGTCCGATTGCTCATTTTGCCATTTTCATTCAGTGCATTGATCACAAATACTATGGCTACTTACACGTGCTGCAATGTTTAAATATTTCTGGAATATTTTACAATCTCACATACTGTACAAGTTACTTTTCGGCCCATTTTTCCCCTGCACATTTTGAGTGGTACAGCTAGCTCCCAAACCCACACACAGTAGACACGGCTAATGTCCCATATATATCTATAGATATATATGGGACATTATACAGCAACAATGGAGTAAATGTCCTTGGGAAAATGTAGCGCGTGCAGGCCACAGGAGGTGAAGGGATATTCCATTACGCTATTGCATTCAAATCTACGTCAAACAATTATCAACACAATCTAGTCTATGGAGGAGATACGGCAACAAAGACATCGTAATGGTACAATTTCACAATTTCTTCCACGCGCTGAAATCTGAATGAAATCTGATTGAAGAGGCACATTAACAAACGCAGAGCAGCGCGATGATCATCAAACACGGTGGCCTGTAATTTCCTTATGGTTAGGGACACTTTCGCCGGATGAGCGCTGAAAACGGTATCATTTTTAACGGCAGAGAATCCAGCAATCAAAGCTTCACCCATTTTCCTTTGAATTAAGTAAATCATTTGGACTTTTCAACTATAATTGCTTTGCCTTTATTGTATGTCAAGAGTTTGATGGCTGCGTTGGAGTCATGCATCATTACTAAAGCTGCAAGATTTTTCCACATTTGTCATGGAAAAAAAAAACTATTCTTCACAGTTTTACGAGGTTGGGATGTCTGGGAAATTCTCATTCGCACTCATTAAGGAACCGGGGAAGACAATCAAGCGAATGTTGGAGCGTGATGGAAATGCGTTTTTGCGTAGGTACGAAATGCCGAAGTAAGTCATTTGTTTGGTTGACGCTTAGAAAAAAGAAGCTTAAATCTTGACTGAAACTGGAAAAATGTACAAACATAAACACAAATGATATAAAGCAGTAGGCATTTTTTTCAGGTTGCCACTTGGCTAGCTCAATGACAGTCAATGAAGGACGTACTTCCTCGATCGATGGTCAACATGGGGAGGAAACATGCAGAAATCGTTCAATATTTACTATACACTGTAACTTGCGGCTGGATGATCACGGATCTGCGGGAAAACGTTCACCGGAGACGTCTGTGTTTGTAAATAAGTGCACAAACTGAGGCTGAGCTAATAAACAGAATGTAAGGCGCATCCATCGAGCTGCTAGGATCATTTTTATACATTTAGAATTAAAACAATATTGTAAAAGAGGCGAATCTGTGCGCACCTGTATTCAATCCCACCGTTTGGTTTTCGCACATTTGCCATTGGCAGTGAAATACAGTCACATTAGAAGACCTTGTGGCAACGCAGATCTACAATTAATGGTCGGATGAGTGAAGAGAGAGAAATGGCGTCTTGCGTATACAAGAATATGCAGTACATTTCTCATCCCTGCGTGAGGCAAAAAACAGGGTTGAGCGTGTGAATAACATTGGAAAAAGCTCCATGGTCAAAGCTGTGAACAGTGGATTTTGCATGTTATGTCCCCTTTAATATCAAATTCCCCAGTAATCAGAAGCTTTCATCACACCAAAAAGAACATTAAAACCTTTTTTTAGATTGTCAGTTTTGGATTAGCTTAGCAATTAGCTTCCACGACACAAAAATCCTTCTTTTATTAACCACAGACGCATCTTTGGGAGAATTATATAAACAGAGCCCAAAAGTTTGTACACAGACCTTTCGATGATCATCCAACTGTAATTATAGACGGAAATATTGCGTCACATAACCAAACGGCCGCGCAAAAGAAGCTCAATGGAAACCTGAATCGGCCATGTATTCTCAGCGTATTGGAATATGTACTAAACCGAAATGTCAGACCTAAACTACATTTCATACAATGGCTACAGAGCGGGACAGAGGGAGTACAGACTGGACGGCGGAGGGGCGTCTGGAGGCTCCTACATGATGCTAATACTGCGGTTGAGCTCGCACTGCGCATTGTTATTGTTGATGTTGGGGTTCCTGCGGCTCATGTTGGGGGTGGGCACCGAGGTCAGGCTGCTGTTGTCGTTGGGGCAGCCGTGTTGGAGCAGGATGTCGGAACACTCCTGGCTCCCGGCTCGACGGGCGTACGATAGCGGGGTCTGACCGCGGGCGTCACGGCTCTTCACTTCCACGCCGTACTGGGAAGACGAGATGAGACAAATGAAGCAACAAAATAACACTTTCAAGCTTTTACAACCAACTCAAATATACAGCCATTATACTTCAGATTGCACCATGTATTTATTCCCGAAATAGATTACTTCTCGTGTCTAGTACCAAAAGTGTTGAAGTTTGCCACAGCATTTTATGAAAAGTACTCATGAGCTGTGAAAAGTATTGAAAATACATCTAGCATCAAAAATTAACCTACCCTGGATATGTTGAGTATGAGTAAGAAGATGTCAAAGATATAGTAGCAACATTAATATTACTAAATGTCTTCATGTCTACGGTAAAAGAAACCGGGACGTCTCGCTCCAAGACTGACTCCAAGACTCCAAACCTGAGCTTGAATAATCGGTTAAAATAAAACACAAATAAAATGCGGTGCCTCCATTAGTTTCACTCCATCTTTACTCGTCGCCGGGTCGTGGTGGAAGCCGTCTGAGCAGAGATGCCCAAAAAATTGTATCCCTGCCCACTTCAACTCATAGGAAATGCATTTAACAACCTGTGTACGACTAGGATCTACCTTTATGTCGACAAAATTTAGCTTCTGGGACAGTCCTCTTGCAGGTGAAAAAGCCTGAATCAATCAATACTGGCTCTGACTGAACAGAAATTTGAAAAAAAAATTCAACTTTTTTATGTTTCTGGTTGTCCCTCAACTTATCTGTATTCATCGGTATTTTTTTAATCTGGTTTAATTCTGGTTTTTGTTTTAACGTTTTACTTTTTACATGTATTTGTGTGTATTTTATGCTGTTTTTGTTTTCTTTTTGTATTTTATGTGCCTGTGAAGCACTTTGGGCAGCTAGTGTTAAATCAAGCTGACATTGACATTGACACAAACCCAATATTTGAAATCAAGTTTACATAAAGAAAACAGAGTAACTGCGTATAGACTTCAGCTTACCTGGCGTTCCTAAACATCTATGTCACTGCACTCACCCATATGAGCAGCTGTGTGATGACCACGTTGGCCATGGCGCAGGACAGGTGCAGAGCGGTGCGTCCGTCTCCGTCCCCGTACGTCTCGTTCACCTCCTCTTTGGTGCCGTGAGCCAGCAGCACCACCACCAGCCTCAGGTCGTCCTCCACCACGGCCCGGAGCAGTTGCTGTCCCAGGGGGATGTCGGACTGAGGCAGCCCCACCACAAACAGCTTCTGCTCGTACTTTGCCCGGATCCACCGCTCCTTCTCCTCCCTGCACAGAGGCGAGAGAGCGGATCAAGACTCGGCTATAGGGGCCTCGATAAGCTAACGCAAACTTTTATTTTCAGGCTCTCTTTGCCAGAATTAGATACAGTTAATTTACATGTCTGGTTTACAATCTCCATTTTCCTTGTCTTTTTTTAACATAAAACACACATACAGTAAAAAAGACACGTCGACAATATCAACAACTAAACTACAAACAAAAAACTAAAAAATCAAATGTTTTCTTAATAACTGTTTTCTGATTGTTAAGGGCACTAATAAATTGTTTTTTTTTGGTACCGAAGTAAAAACCATTTAATATTTCTACTGAATAGTGAATGCAGGTGGCGTAGCATACCCACATGCATGTTCAGTCATTCAAAATAAAATAAACTTGCACAGAATTAAAATGTAAATCTGCTCTGTCAAAACCGAATTTAACATTGTCACTCCCAAGACGACCCCAACTGTGCAATGCAAACAAATTCCACACTAGCTCCAAAGTGTAAAGATCTTGAACTTGTCCCATTGATGTTATTGTTTTCCTCTTTCATTAGAAAAGTTCTTCAGGAAAACCCAACAGGGGATCAATGGGAATCAACACATTTCTTCGGCTGGTAAGATTTTCTGAATCGTTATTGAGCTGATGTATACATGCTGTGCTCCCTCTCCTCCCTAGGACATGACACGGCCAGCGCGGGTCAGCCTGGGTGAAGCATGGACCAAGTATTTAGCACCCATACGTGCGCTTTGACAACAACATCACTTCATTTATAGGCGCATGGCGGTAGAGGAGACACTGGGGAGATATTTCTGTAATTGTACAGGACAATGACTGATGTGAAGTGGCATTTCTAAATGATTAGCGCTCATAGGGGCTTTTGACTCAACTATCACAGTGGGAAATTATAGCCCGATAGGAGAATGCCAGAGGGGTGTGACGCCGCGGACAATATTCCACTTCCTGGACCGTTAAGACTGGCTGGCTTTCTAAAGGTTACAACAGCTTGTCTGATGCGGACAATACAGAAAGGTGGGGGACATACTTTTTTATCTTAGCTCTCGCCTGTCACTCTAACCAGAGGATGCCCCACAAAAGAGTGTGTGTGTGTGTGTAGCCCTGGGTCCCTGGAGGCCCCGGAGTCAGATCGATGTGACTGAATGGGAGCCAGAGACGAACGGGTACAATGTGGTCACTCCAAAGCAAAGCATAAAATAGACTGAGCCAAGGCTGTGTCACTGGATAGAATTATATCTACAGCTCTCCATCTTGACCCAGACAAACTGTCCAAATAAGAGAGAAAAATCGATGCACATGAGTTTGGGGTGGGCATGAGCGTGTGGCAGTGACCCGGTGACCCAGTGTGCGGGCGTGATAAGTGCAGCAGTGTGGGGCTGTTGTTCAAACGCCGGGTGAGTGACAGGGCGGAGGAGTTCTGGACGCGGCAGAAAAACCACTGATGCTGGTTGGAGTGACAAGCTCCTCCTGGGACGCGCTATCACCGGGACAGGCCCTTACGCTTCGAACACAATGGCAAATATTGTTGTTTTAAGCTGTGCCAAATTACTCTAGACACTTGACATGAATTTACGACGCAAAATTACCAAAAAAAGACACCATTGTACAGTACAGCACAGAAGTAAGTAAGTCATCTTTGATTTATAAATTGCCTTTCAGAGGCCGAGGTTCACGATTCTTGTTGTACCAGTAATTTCTATTCCGTCTACACACACTAGCGCATCAACCATCCCCATCCTTTCTCTCACTACATTCAGATCTATTGTGGATATGCTCCGGGGAAACCGGGGAAACCGGAGCAACCAAAGGTTGCTCTGTGCAGACAGAGAGAGAACATGCAAACTTCACACAGAAAGGCCTGCAGGTGGAATTGAACCAAGATTTTGGCTGTGATGCATTAGCGCTAACCACTCCACCACCGTGCTCCGAAACCAATTTCAAAAGGTGTCTCACTTTCTCACATATCCCAATATGTTATTAAATCCTAAAAATCCATCCAAAGTGCAGGAGAGTACAAATTTAAACATTCATATTGACATTCATACTATTAATTCACAAGATAAGATAACCTTTATTAGTCCCACAGTGGAGAAATTTCAATGTTGCACAAGACCTCACAAGAGCTCACAAAATATACAACTATGTTTCTAAGCGTCAATATCAAAATATATTCATGTAACTCTATCTATATATATAGTGTAAAGTTATTTACATATAGGGCAGGATAATAAGTGGATAAAGTGACATTCAGTGGACATAATCTTTGTAGAAAGTAAACAAGCAATCTTGTTTCCTTTGTGGTTGCTAGGTAACTGTCATTGAATTTGCTATATGTATGTCACAACTGCTGTCTACTGTAAGTCCAACCAGAGCAATTATATCCAAATCTTAACATATCTCTCCAAGCTAATTCCTCAATAAAACTAAAATACAAAGTTCTAACCTTTTGACACTGCTGATTATGTGATATCAATGGCAAGGATGTGTAAGAATAGTAAGCAACTCAACATTAGTCACTCTATTATTCTCATCTTGGCGAGCAGGTGTCAAAGCTGCTTACAGATGCCCCAGAGTCCTTTTTCCAACTCTCGTGTCAACTGTGGACTCATCTCACCTAAAGGAGTCTGCTCTACCCCACACCGTCGGCCTGTGTAAGTAAGACAGTCTTCATCAGTGCAATTGATTAACTGCTGTGGAGCTAATAAAGCCACTTGGCCCATATCTTCAAACAGTCCTGGAGCAATTGCAGCTGTTAGCAGATGGGTGCATTTCGGTCGTGCACTGTTCTTTAACCCACTAAAGTAAAAGCAAATCTTTTCTTAAGCATGAGGGTATTATGTGGACAACAATACCAGCATAATAGCCGGCAATTGCGGCCGTTCCGAGTTTTATGGTGTAAGACCTCCATCAATTCCTACTCAGTCATTATGTGTGGACAAGCCTGTTAGCAAATCAATTGGGCCTAGAACAAGTGGACTGCACAGCACAGGAAGGGGCCGACCCGCCCTCCCAACTTATTTCCGGTGGTCCGTTATAAACAAGTGTTTTTTTCCTGGCTGATAGATTCAAGTGTTTGCTGCAGAATCCTTAAAGCGCAGTGTGCGGTGTTGTATGGTCAGGGAGAATGGCTCTGAAACAATCACGAGGGGCAGTTGTGGCAAAGTTAGTTTCAGAAAGCCGCGCTGTGAATGAGATGCTGAATCGGTGGAGCCCAGTGAATTGATATGAGCTAAATGAGGCAGAAAGTTGCACAGAGATGCGAAACAAAAAGGCTGAGGAGAGCCATTAAGAAGATGTCAACGTCCCAGAAAGGAGGCCCGAGGACACTTTGTAACACCGACCAGAGAAAGAAGTGACGCACACTTACAAAATCTAAATAGCAATTTCAAGCAGGAAAGAAATAGCAAACGTAAGCGACCAGTGGTTTACTCTCCCCCCCTCACACAAAAAAAAAAATCCTCAGCTGGTGCCACTTGAAAAAGGAAATGAAACAGTAATCCCGCCTCTGTCTTTTGTTTGAATTAGGACAGCAATCTAAACAGAGGTAGGCTTTAGACGGTTGGGAGGGAAAGCCGAGAGCCTTGAAAAGGACACTTCCTCACCACAGGAGGAAGAAAAATAAAATCAGCAGATTTAGCATGTCAAAGCGCCTGGCCGGAGCGAGAGGGAGGGGGGCAGAGTGAATTTTCTCAGCATGGGGGATATTTAGCCAGCCTAACTTACTGATCCCGATAGTTTAACACAAGCACTTTTAAGAATAAATAGACACCAATTTCCCCTCCCTCGAGTGCATACTTGTTCTGAATTTTGCAGTTGCTCCGGGGACAAGGGGGTGCTTAAAGTTGCCAATAAAAATGCCTGTCTTACACAACTTGAAAAAGCTTCCCATTATACCTCTTCAAAGCCGTTGTAACCGAGCTGTTTTGGTCAATTTGATCCTGAAACATCAAAAACGAAAGATCTTAAAACGCGGGTGTCGCATTTCAATTGGCCAACCTCGGAGTAAAGGCAGCCCCTGAAGAAAAGGCCTATTATTATACTTATGTGCTTTAAGGGCAATGTTGAGCAATGGATTCTGACCCCGACTTAATTAAGTGGCAAATGGCAGAATGATTCTCCTAAAACCCAGCCCACGGAGTCAAGAACACATGACTGCATTCAAATAAAGAGGGACAAACAAGGGTAATTAGTCAAGCCTGAAAGACAATGGCGAATGGGGATTTATAGCAAGGGATTGGAAGCGGAGACAGAGGGGGCGGAGTCAAAGTCCCAGTAGCAACAGAATGACCAATCTGGATACCTGCAAGTATAATAAGCCAAGGGTGCAAAGCAGGATGTCCGTCCCACCAACAAGCCATCGTTCAGCGAATCCTCCTAGACAATCAAAGCGTCGCCCCCACCGCCCCCAAGTTTTTTCTTTTTTGTGTTTTTTGGGTGGACGAGAGCGCGCACATCAAATAGAGCCGCTGGAATGGCGCGTTGGGAAGGGGTCTTTGCGTTCGAGCGAGCCCAAACAGAGCCCGCGGTGGGGGGCAGACAAACTTTCTATGGGAGCGGTTCCCATGCAGTCTCCACGAGCGCTGAGAGGGGCGGGGCCAAGGAGACAGACAGTGAGGAAGAAGAGCAGGGGACAGGAACAGAGAGAGCACAGGGCCCCAGAGCATCAAAGGTTGTCAAGGAGCAGAAATGGAGCTTCCAACACAGTAAACGCGGCAGCTCCAGTGGTAAATACGGCCCCCTGCGGTCCGCCGGGTACACTGTCCATGTTTGGGACAAAGAAGTTCAGACCCAATATCTTTGTAGGGAGTGTTTCTCATTATTGCACCTTGGAGAGTTTCATTCAAAAGTGAAATGGAGAAAATACTTCAAATGACACAAAAATCAAGAATAGTAGATGACAGAATCAAACAAGTGCTTATTCATTTTCAAACACTAAAAAGAATACACACACACACACACACACACACACAAAGGTAACAAATTAAATG